CAGTGCTGACGTACGTTGGCCTCGTCTCTGCTCCCAAACGCTGGGATGGGGGATGGAGGGAGGCAGGGAAGCAGGAAAAAACCCGAGCGCTCTCTCCCGTTCCTGGGCCGGCCGGGAGCGCGCGGCAGCCGCGCTCCCTGTGCTCCCTGTGCTCCTTGTTCCGTGCTTGGAGCCTTGGGAAGGGAGGGAAGGGAACACGCGGGAGGGACCTGTCCCGATCCCCATCCCGTCCCTCCGAGCTGAAGATGCCAGTGGGGCTGTGGGAGAGCCCGGACGGCATCTCCCCGGGATGGATGGACAGAGGGACGGCCCGCAGCTGCTGGGCGGGGAGGGCTGGAATCCGGGATATTGTTTTCCTGCCTGGGAGCGGCGGGTGCCAAAAGCCTGATGCATTCATCACCTCCGACACGGGCCCGTCCGGCTGCTGGCGCCCGGACGCCTGGGCCCCTGCCGCGGGGAGCGTCAGGCACACGCTAACGGAGCGGGAGCCGCTTGCTTGGGCACACTCGGACCCTCCAGCCTGCCTTGTGCCGGCCTCGCGGATGCTGTTGGCGTCACATCTGCTGCCCAAGGCACCTTCTGGGCAATTCCCGCTCCCGGAGGGTCTCCGCTCCCCATTTCCAGGCAGTTGAGAACCTGCAGGGAGCTCACGGGATGAGTAAGGGGCACCGGGAGCAGAGCCAGAGCCGGGGGGCTCTGCTTTGCACAGATCCACCTCATCCCGGAGCGCTCCGGCTTCTCCAGGCTCTGCACAGCCCCTGTCCACCCCGGCCACCGCCGGGAGGTGACGGGCACTTTCCTGGCTTTATCCGACTCGCCTCCCCCTGCTTTATTTACTGTCTGCTGCCGACCGCGGCTTCCAGCAGCTCCAGCATCCGTCACGCTGCCAGGGCAGCGTTTGCTCTGCCCTCCCCATCTCTCTCAGGACATTTTTTTTGGTGAGAAAAGGAGAAAGAGGGAAGAAGAGGGACCCCAAGCTGGGAGGGAGGCTTCCCGCGGGGCTCGGAGCTCGGGATACCGGGAGCGCAGACCTGCCGGCAGCGCTGCGAGCCTCTCGCCATCCCTGCTGTCTCCTAGACTTGATTTTTTTTCTCGTATTCACTGCTTCTCTCTCTTTTTTTTTTTTTTTTTTGTCCAGACATAATTAATGTAAACCAAATGCTTTGTGCACAGCTGCTGGCATCCTGCAGCCCTTGCGTGTGTGGTCTCTCCTTTAGCCTGGACGGAGACGGAGCAAAGCCCTGAGCGCTATCCCAGACCTGCCTGGGTAGGGAGCAGCATCTATTGCACAAGAGGCACCTTGAGTTCCTGCCTTCCCCTCGCGGGATGAGGTTATGGGATGGCTGATTGAACCGGTTTAAAGCAAGCCGTGCAACTGCCCAGAAAACTCCATTGCCAAACCCAAACTAAACTGTTCTCACTCGTTAGAGGAAATCTGCTCAACTGAAACCCCAAATGTCTGTCTGGTTTTCAGGGCTGCCTCTGCGTTTCCTGGTTCCACGGGGCTGGAAGCGGATGTCCCAAAGCGTCTGTGGGGAAGGATTTCCTTGTGCTACCTCTGGATCTCAGGAGCTGTGAGATCTCGTGATTTGTTTTTTTCCAGCCAAAGGGCCAATTCCTGATCGTGCTGCTCTGGCCTGGTGTTTCCACTGGATCTTTAGGACCAAGGGTTCAAATCTCAAGGGTACAAATAGCTGCTGAAACTCCTGGATCCAAAGAGCCTCTGAGCCACAGAGGTCCCAGCAATGCCTTGACCAGCACCAAGCTTGACCAACTTGGCCAACCTCTGCAGCCTCTTGCTTGGTTGGCACCGCTGCGCCCAGGTTTATTGGGAAAGGTGGGAAATGATAGGGGATGGAGGACTGTTAACAAACGCCCGTCCTGCTAGAGGCCCTTGCCCCACGGAAGCGGTGGGGCTGAGCATCCCAGCCGCGCGCTCGCCCAAGGCCACGCGGTGAGTCAGTGGCTGAGCATTTTGCGAGCGTTTTAGCTAAATGGGAAGCATCTGAGTGCCCGGCCATGGAAGTGCTTTGGATTCCAGGGCGATTAGGATGCAGCAGATGCCTCGGCAAGAAGGTGGGCTGCGGGCTATTTCTATGGGGGGAGCGTCGCAGTGTGCGACCTCCCCGGGTCCTGGAGGCAGCCGAGCAGATCCCAAGCAACCGCTCTCGAGCGTCTTCCCTCAGTTGTCTCCCTCTGTTGTTTTGGGAGCAGGAAGGGGGTCTGACACCTCTGCAAAGCCTCCTTGGCACCCAACAGCTTGAGGGTCATCAGGGCTGGGAGAAGCTCCAAGGGAGAGGTGGGAGCTGGGACTTGATGTGGCGTCAGGAGAGGGCAAAGGGGGTAATTTCTCCATTTGCAGCTCTCAGGTGGATGATGTTGACCAGAGAGGTGAGAGAGCAGAGAAATGAATCCCTCCCTGTGTGCCCTTTGCCTCGGTGCCGATCGGGAGCTCGGCGCCTGCCCAGCACCAGAAGAGCAGTCGCCTCCGCCGACCGTCCCCAAGCGCCCAAGTGATGACAATTTTAAATGGGTGAGAGCTTGAAAAATAGCGAGTGAGATTTTTAAAGGGTCACCTTGGCCAAGGAGGCAAAAATTCTTCCCCATGCGAGTTGAGATGCTTTAGGAACTGCCTTAAAATTAATCCAAACCATGAGCCCGGCTCCAAATGAGCGGGACTTGGCAAGGCGGCTGGACGCGTTATCTTGAAATATAGGCAGGCATCCCAGAGGGGTTCTGGTGGTTTTCCTGGTCACTTCTTATTCCTCCATCCCCGCCTCGTCTGCCCCCCTGCCTTGCATAATCCTGTCTATTTTAATGCTGGCGTCCACATTTTGGGTTTGATTCCTCTCAAGGCTCCCAAAAGCAGCCAGGGTTGCAACACAGTTTCGTGCCGGGGTATTTTGCCCGGAGGAGGCTGCCCCGCTGCTGCGAGCGGCTCGGCAGGGAGCTGCGCTGGGACGAGACGCGGGAGGGCTGCGAGTCGCAGATGCCACCAAAGCCGGGGGGCTCGGGGCCGCCTCGGCAGCTGGGCTTTGAAGAGGCCACTTGGACATGTCTGGACATAGAAAGCCCCGTCTGTCTCCAACGCTCCCATGTGCAACCGCGAGCAGCTCCGTGCTGAACCCTCGCTGCGCCTTGCATGTGTGCATTTGTGCAATTCGAAGGGATTTGGCAATACGGCGCTGCTAGGATGGCTGGGTCCATGTCTTCCAGCAAATGCAGCTTCCTATTGTTAAACATTCGCTATTTATCAGATTTTGCTTTTAAACTGTCTGTAACAGTCTGGGAGAACTTGTGTCAAAATCCCTTCCAGATGTGAAGGTGCTATCTGATACTTTGGTTATAACCTGGACCCTCACTCCTGCTCTATTCAGATTAGTTGAACTACTGTGAAAATGAAAATGCAAATAAAGACATATACAGATATATATATAATGAAAGAGATATGTGTAAAACTTCCCCCCCATCCTTCCCATTTACAGGCAAAACCAGATCCTGCCTTCATAATGAGATCATGAGTTTTATCACTAAACATTTGCTTTACTGGAAAAACGCAGGTAACGGAGGGAAAGCAGCCATCTGCCTGTGTCTGTGTGTGTGTGTGTGCTTTTAAAACCTTGTTGACTTTTTTCCCCCTGTTTAAATAATGCTTCTTTGGGTCTGGGGCTTCCAGACGCATTAGCTCTTTTTATGAGCATCAGATGATGTGCGCAACTGAAAATCAGAGCAGTTCCCCTGCACTCAGAGCACATGGATCAGATAAAGATGATTAGTTAAATGCTTATTGAAAGGCTGTTGCAAATTTGGAGCCTTTTTTCCCTTTTTTTCTTTTTAGCAGCACATACTCTGCAGACCTGCTGCCTTGTCAGGCTCTCCGAGAAGCTTTGGGGCCGCAAGATACCCGCGGATTAAAACACCCTCTCTCGCGCGCTCTGGTATCTGTCAGATCATATAAGGTCCAAGCCAGCTCCCATCGTAGCGAGGGAGGGTTTTTCCACTGACTTTAAGAGGCGCTGGACTGGGGCCATGATCTTCGTAATGCGGAGCCGGGAGCGTGCGTGATGCTCTGCATGATGACCGAATTTCTGGGAGATAGGCCTAAACCAAAACCTTGGAGCGGCGCTCCCGGGGGCTGCTTTGCCGTAGGAGCACGGAGGCTTGAGCCGCTGGACCCGGATTCGGAGCAGGTTTTTGCAGCTGCCGAAGCGTCTCGGCGAGCGCCGAGGAAGAGCTGCTGCTTCGTGGCTGCCCCTGCAAGGCCAAGGCCGCAGAGCTCCCATTTGGCAGGTTGGGCCTCGTCCATAATCCAGATCCACCTCCAGCTTTTGTGTGGCAAAGGGTCCTCTGTGCAAATGGGGGTCCTGGGCTCGTCCCTGTGTCCATCGCCCCAGTGGTCCCTGGGGTGGGGGAACCAAACGCTGTTCTGGAGGTTTTCCCAGTGCCTTGGCATCCTGGGCATGATCCTGGACATGGGGACCGTCCCTGGGGTCCTGAATCCCTGTGTCATCGCTCCTGAAAACCCTCGGTGGCTGCTGGAGGCTGTGGAACAGCCCTGGGATGGGGTGAGAGGAAGGAGCCGGACAAGGGCAGCCCAAGACGATGTTGTGTGGGATTTCCTTAAGCAAATCCCAGCTGCACATCCCTTCCCAGGGGGAATCTGGCCCTTGCTTGTGCTGATGTGCACCCAGCTGGGAGCTGGGCCAGGGAGGAACCAGCAGGGATGAGTCTTCTTCATTCAGGGCTTACGGATTGGAGCCTGGGAAAGCCCAAAAGGAGGAGAGGGAGCAATTTGCTGAGCCCGATGGAGCTCTGGGCAGGAGCAGCGGCACTGGGGGCTGTTTGTGGCTGTTCCTACCCACCCAGGCGGCCCTGGCTCGCTCCCGCTCCGAGGAACAGACGCCTCCAGCATCCCATTTCTGCTCCCGCTCCCTTCTGCTGCTCGATACATGTGTTTTTACCATTAATTAAAGTGAAAATTAGACTCCGTCATTCCAGGATGTCACCAAAGCGAAGCCTGGAAGCGCTGGCGTGCGGGGCAGGGAGCCAGGCACCGTGTTGCTTTCCGGAACGGAGCCATCGCTTCTGCACCAGCTCCATCGGGCAGGTCGGGCACCTCCTCAGCGCCCGAGCAGGGCCGGGACCTGGGGCCTCTCCTGGCTGCCCCTTCCTGCCTCTACCCACATCATTGCTGTTGAATCCGCTGGGAAGTTGCCCTACCACGGAGCAAGGAGCCTTTCTGGACGTCCTGGGGACAGCATCGCCTTGGGTCCCTCTCCGCTCCTTGCGAGCACCAAATGCCACCGATGCAACAGCACTTTGGAGAGTGGCATCACCTGGTTGGGATTAAAGGGCATAAAAGACCCTTCATGTCTCCAGCAGGCGCCTTTGCAAGAGAAAGCTGAATCCCTCCCGTCTTCATTCCTTTTTTCCCCCCTTTTTCTTTCCTCTTTTTTTTTTCCTCCCGGCTGATCTTAAAAAAGCCCCGGGTGGCTTGGGCTTTGCGAAACCCAAATGCCTTTTGCAGCGTCAAGCACGGATCCCCTAAGTAATATCCCAGCGCTGGAGAATAAGACAGTATATGAAGTAGACGGGGAGCTATAAAGGCGCTTTAAAAGGGGCAATAAAAGTTTTGGGTTTCATATCGTCTTACCGAAGAAGAGAATAACAGAGAAGCAGGAAATTTCAGTAGCAGACACGACAAAGGTCACAGCACTCAGACTGCACCTTAGACGAAAACACCTCCGCTTATGAAAACAGCAAGAATTTCTGGCAAGGGCTCAAGAGCTCTTACAGGCAAAGCTCTCGGCAGCTCTAAAAGGCTACAAGAGACTGTTTTGTCTACGTTGCTGTAAATGTTTAGAATATCCCCCTGCATTGGTAGTGCAGGGGATACCCTGCGCGGGCGACGCGACCCCGGCGCGGTGCCCTGCGCGGCTCTGCCTGCGTCTGCCCCTGCATTGCGGGTCTTGCAGGGATGCCCCGATATCCCCGCCTGGCCCGTGGGCTTGGGGGGTTGGAGGTTTGCGATGGCCAGAGCAGAGCCCTGTTGCAACAGCAG